TCGGGATGAAATGTTGTGCTCCTCTTTAGGACTATTCCTTGTAACCCGAACAATTCCTTCAAAAATAACTAAGGAAGGCATTGCTCATTACTGATACAGTAGATTTTGGAACACCATACAAATGAACTACTTCCCGTATGAACACCGTAGTGGCTGCGACGACAATGCAAGGGTGTCATAATCGAATGAAGTGTTAATAATTTCTCACGCGATTCATTACCATCAATAACACTGTAAACTCATCTGATTGTGGCAACCCCTCTATAAGAGCACATTTTCGCTTCCTCCCAAACCTTTTCGGGTAAAGCTAGGGGTTATAGTAACCATTTTGGTGCTATAGTCAAATACTTGTGTCGTTGGCATACATCGCACATTGCCACCATATCCTCTACATCTCAGCGCATCCCAACCCAATATAGCACAGATGATAATCTATTGTATGTCTTTTGTATCCCTGTGTACCCCTAATCGTACTGCCGTAAAACACATGCAATAGTTTGGGGATGTACCTTTGACGCCCTCAATAGTACGAATCATCCCTGATAAAGTAGTGGTTGCCCCCTCAATGTGCATGTTGGATGATTGTTCGGATCATGTAGCAACTCTGCCCTTATCTTCCTCAACACCTCATCTTACTCGCTCTACTGGCTCATGGCTTCCAATCTAGAAATAGAGGTACTAATAAAGTTGTCAGTTATGCCTCCATTTTTCTCGATAGTGCATTCACGACTTAAATCTCCAATTCTAACTGGCACTTAATTTAAAAATCATATCCAAGTATCTTAGATAGCAACCTATGATTCTTCTCTATCACCATTTTCTGCTCCAACAAATATTTCAAGCTCCTCTAATCAGTCCTGATTATAAAGTGTCACCCCAACAAATAGCGTCGTCACTGCTGGATGGCCAAGACAACAGACATCAACTCCCGCTCATACATGGACTTGAGCCTCATCCTGGTCATGAAAACCTAGCTAAAATATGCAATAGGTCGCAGCTCCTACATGAGAATGACTTCTATCCATACCCCAACGCATCCGCCTCTACCACAAATGGTCTATTGGAATTTGAAAGTGTTAATGTCAGAATGATGGTCATGACCCTCTGCAGATGTTTGATGGCCTGTGTTGTTGCTCGCCCCAACTTAAAATTGTCTTTCTTCAGTTGCTCTATAAGCGGTTATGCTATCATGTTGTACCCTCTCAAGAATATCTGGTAGTACCCAACGAGGCAAATGAAACCTCTCAACTCCTTCAAGCTTTTTGGTAAAGGGCAGCTCAAGATAGCCTCAATCATGGACTGATCTGCTGCTACCTCTGTTTGGTCACCACATGCCTTAGATACTCAACCTATGACTGCACAAAAGAACATTTCTTCATATTGGCATACAACTGATGTTCTCTCGGTGTCTCCAAGAGAGTTCCCAAGAATCACATATGCTCTGCTTATGTACAATTGTTGATCATGATATCATCAAAAAATGCCAAGATAAATTTTTGGAGATAAGTTTGAAAAATCCTATTCATGAACTGAAAGTTGGTTGGAGTGCTTGTAAGGTAAAACGGCATCACTAAGTTCGTAATGTCCTCATGAGTCTTGATTGTCATATTGTGTACATCGACTAAATTCATCCTAATCTGATAGTATCTTGACTTCAGATCGATTTTTTAGAAGATAACTGCTCCATATAATTTTATCTAACAGCTCATGAATCACTGGAATTGAAAACTTTTCAGTACAATTTCCTTATTCAAGGTCATGTAATCCAAACAAAATCTCCAACTATCATCCTTTCTCAACACTAGGAAAACTAGACTGGAAAAGGGACTCACAATGTCCTCAATAATACCTACTTCAAGCATCTCGTGAATCAACTTCTCTTTCCCATTCTCCTAAATCTGAGGATACCGGTACATTCTAATAATAATAGGAGGAACTCCTTACTTTAATGTGATGGCATGCTCATGCTCCCTCAATGGCAGCAATTCGTTGGGTTGTTCAAAGATGTCAGAAAACTAATGCAGAAGTTGTTGAAACCCCTCCGGGACTTCTACTGACTAGAGAACTCAGATCTCCTGTATACTATGCAACTTAACCAAAATAGCCCAACCTTGCTCCCCGTATCATCTTGAATATGGTTTTGTGTGAGACCAAGGTTTTGCGTAGGCTAGCAACCCCTCTCAGCATCACCTCCCTCCCCTCCACCCAAATATCCATAGTCAGGAATTTCAAATCCACCTCCGTCTTCCTAATTGTATGAAGTCACTTCATCCTCAGAATCAAATCAATGTTTTCCAAGTTCAGGGAAAGAAAGTCATCTGCCACCTGTACGCCTTATACTGTTTACACTAATCCTCTGTAAATTTCCCAACTTTCATTACCTATGATGTCACATCATGATCCCAAACCTTTCCGTATCAGCCTCATCCCCAATTGGTCTACAACCCAACTGGGGATGAAATTGTGAGTGGTCCCATTATCCACCAGCAACACTGCCGACTGCCCCAGGATTTGTCATTACTGGTGTGACTTGGAGTAAATCACCCCACCGTGTTGAGTGACACTTCCCTTTCATCCAAGTCCAAGTGCTCCTCCTCTTCCTCTACATTTTCTTTCTCCGACTCCTCACGATATGTTTCCTCCTCATCACAAACAAAAAGAACCTGGAGTGTGTGCTCCTTGCACCAGTGAATTAGGCCACACTTCTCATCACATCGAAAACATAATCTCTTTGCTCTTGTCTTGAACCTCTGGAATGTGAGGAGTTTGAAAATGTCCGCGGGATTGGTCCCCATATTCCTCTCCTTTGGTGTCTCCTTTTAAAATGACACCATCTAAGTCCTCGATGTCATGATCATCGAGATACTCTTGTGAAATCCTCTAATGGCATTGATTTTGTTGGTTTTCTTCATCTGTTTCTTGTCCTCCACCATTTGGATGAGTTTCATCGTCTTCCTCAATCCCCGCCAAGGGTCATAGTGTTGATTGTATGTCGGGCGTTAGGTGTTTCATAACGTTCCCCTCCAATCCTGCTTTAGAAATTTCACTCAGTTGTCCCAACAAAAACTTGAATCTCTCTCTAATACTTCATGACTGTCGTCTTTCGAGTTAAGGAATAGATTTTGCTCGTGTAGGTCTCCTTCCTTAATGGATTGAAAATGTTATAATAAGAAATCATTAAATTTCTCCCACGAACGGATCGGGTATGTCACCTCCCTCCACTGAAACCATATTTGGGCTTTCCACTCCAAACATACCCTTCCTCCGTGAGCCTCTCCAACCCATTTAGGCTATTCATAGTGAAATATTGCTCCATCCAATACAACGACCCACGTGTGTCTCCCCCTGAAGATCGGCATCTTCAACTTCCGAAATCTACTATCACCATCCCAATTTTCTCTCCCACTGGTGTTTAACCCCATGTATCTAGAGTGAAATTCCTATTTCCATTGAGCATAGTCATATCTCATTCTGGTTCCTCTCCTTTCTTCAAACTCCTCCGGGCACCTTGCATAGCCCCTCCAAATTTCAGCTCCACTCCCTCCATCAAAAATCTCAAGTCCCCCCCCCCCCGGGGCTTTGGGGGGAAGTCCTT